TATGTGTAATAACTCAGTGCCCTACGCAAATGACTTCGCCCCAAGTCGCTCCAAGAATATCTAATTTTTATTCAATATGCAGCACGCAATATTGCGATTGTGAGACTACAGCACTACTTTCAAAATGGCGACTCACAGGTCAACACATGAGAAAGGATTGTGATCAAAAAAACATTTATTTTTTCATTATTTATTGTAATTTATGCATGTACTTTTGCCATGCCACCCACAGAATTCAAGGCCGGCCTTGTATATGAACAGGCCAGCCCTGTATTCATGTATGCATTCTATTTGTGGAACATTTTCTAAAAATGGATTTAAAAACCTAATTATGGCCTTTGGGAGTAGACTGAAAATGTTTAATAAAAAATTCTTTCAGCAAATGCACATGTGTTGTATTAAGTTCATAATTTATCTGAGTACTTCCAGACTGTATTTGTGTAGAATGTTTTAATGTCAAAAATGAAGGATGGCTTAATACTGGTACTTTTTCCTTACATATTCTATGGAAATGGAAATCTGTCTTATATGCCATAATATACAGTACTATAATAGCTGTATAATTCTATAATAAAATATAATGCTGTATACAAAATATACAGCATTGAATTGTTATATAGTCATGGCAAATGTAAGTGATTGCCTAGGGGTGCCTAATTCATAAACAAAGAAAAGATAGATGTTAATTAGTGTTAAGTAATAAAAATTTTTTTAAATGCTAATGATATTGTTTTTGTAAATATCCAGATTTGCAGCTGTTTGAGTGTACAGTATATACTGTACTGTACATACATACATGTTATTGATATATCGGCCAAGAGTTTCAAACTCAAATGCAGCAAAGGGCCAGTCAAATACATGTATATCAGATGTGGATCGTGTTTCATATTGTTCAGTAAACCAACACATACTGTAATTTAAAAAAGCTCTAACAAAGGCCTTACAAACAGTTAGATGTTTGAATTTTTTATGTTTTAATCCCCGCAAGATGTTGGAAACATTGACTTTTAGAAAAGAAATCATCAAGGCTGCAGACCAGATACGAAGCCTTAATGGGCTATTTACGGCCCATGGACCACCAGTTTGTGACCCAATATACACAATATATAGGGGTGCTTGAATTCTTTTTTCCTACAAGCATCAGATACTTATGTATGCATCAGCCCTGTGTATACTTCTTTTTTAATGCATACACAATATATAGGCCTATACTGTAAATAAATAAATTGCTCCATGTAGTCATTTACGTGATGTAGATCAGTGCTTCTCAAACTTTGTGTTCAGAAACCAGTATTTTTGTGAAATTAAATAATATAGTAATTAAAAAATGGAGAGAACCAAATTCAAAGGCATTTTTTCTTTTAATTTTTAGGCTGAAGTGGCAAAAAAAATTACAGTAACAAAATTTGGTTCTTATCATTTTGAAAAATGGACTTGTGAGCTGTTTTCAAGTAATTTCCTGGCCAAATTCAATTGCAATTCACTATGTGTTTAAATAATAAAATAAACAAAAATTATAAAATAATATATTTTTAAAAGACTTTTAAAAACTTAAATAGTTTTATTAATCTATACTATTATTATAAAGAGGTAAAGTTTGTAAGTTTGGATGTAAGAGGTAATCTCCAAAACTACTCATCCGATTTCAAAAATTCTTTCACCAATATTTAGAATGGAACTTCAAGGTGGACATAGGCTGTATATTATTCCGTTAAACATTCATATAAATTAAAAGATATCATCTAGGATTAAGGCTTTTATGTCCAACAGATGGTGCTAAATCTGCGAGTATGACAACCTAAGTTTGCTTTTCTGTGAGGCATTGCTTTTCTGTGAGAATGAACTAAATCAGATCATCTTCTATATATCTATATAAATAAAAATGTAATGATCGTTTGTTCCTACCAATTTCTTTGAAATTTTGATACAACGTTGCATTCAAATATGCATGTTTTTTAATATAATATACGTAGAAATTCCCCCACTGGGGGAAGATGGACAGGATTAAGGCTTACCATGAAGAACTCTGCTTCTATTTATACTATTTTAGATGCATTGTTTGCGTTTTTGATTGAGATTTAATAGGGTACGTCAGCAGAATACACACTAAGAAGGGATTTTTTGAAAAATTCCCCCCATGGAGAAGTGTTATACATTTATAATAGATACATTTTGAGCCACAACAACATGTGGCAGGGTCTGCTAGTGTAATACATAAAATTATAACATTTTACGTGAAATTTTGTTGTGGCCAAGTAATAAATTGTCCACTGACCAGCACTGGTACACAAGTTAGTTTGAATGGCACTAGTGTAGATCACACAGGAATCTAAACAAGTTTTAGTTAATTGCAGTGCAATGGCAGTACAAAGGATTACTGTTCAATAAATAAATGAATTCCACTGAAGTTTCTGGGCTAAAAAGTGAAAGTAGTTTCACATTTTCAAAAATTTGAAGTGCAATATAAACTTAAATGCAAAAACATGCTGCCAAAATTGAGGATGAACCTGTTATTACATTGTAAGTATGGTAATACTGCATTCAATCAGGTCCCAAGTGTATAAATGAAAATGTGAAATGAATATGAACATATAAACACAATATTTCATCATTGATAAGAAAAAAATGTTTTGAGACTATAGTAATGTAAAATAATATGCAAACATGTAATGTATAAACAGTGTTCTACTGCATAAGAGTTCGAAGCATTCCATTTTACTTCCTTAAAACAGTTTTCATATTTTTGGTACAAGTATCCGTTGTACAACACTGCATTTCTACAACATAGTTTCACTCTAACATGGTCTGAAAATTGGGGATATCCCACATACAACACAGTCTCATTCTAACATGGTTCAAAATGTTGGGAAATTCTCCATATAAGATTTCAAAATTTTTAAGTGCAAACTCCACTATTTGATATTTTTTTTATTCAAGTAAACACACATGTTGTTTCAAATTTGCCCATGGAGTTTAGAATATTGAAATTTTCAATTTGTTTTGTACCTTTCGTCAGGTTTACTTTAATGAAACTGATAGTGCAATTTCTTTTTCTTCCTTGTCCTACCTTTCCTATCAACCAGGTGCCATTTTCAGACTAACCTTTAAGACTGTCACAGTGTTTTGTTTTTATAAATTAATCTTTGTATTTAATAGTTTATTGAAACATTTTTATATAAAGGTTATTAAAGTTTTTTAAACCATAGGTAAGTAATCATTTGTAAAAATGACAAACGAAATAGAGGTAGCTCAATACTCAAACACAAATTCTTGAAAAAAAAAATTACTTGGCACTTGACTGAACAAATGTGACCTGCTAGAACAAATTTTTGATTAATAACATATTTGTCGTCCATAAAAAAATGTCTTTATGATAAAAATAAAAAAAAATTATCTCTGTTGCTAGTCAAGTTGAATTCCTTAGAGTTAAAAAAATAGTTTGTTTTTAAAAAAGGAAAAAACTATATTTACTAGAGCTCAAATTTAAACTGATTTTATAGTCAATAATTACACATTAATAGATAAGAATAAATGAGTAATTATTTATTGTGACATCATCACAATGCCAGGCTGCAATTTTTAATCATATTTTTAAGTTAATTTAAAATATATGCTCTCCACCTCAAATCTGCAGTGGCTTGCTCCAGTACATCATACTTTTCCTTTAACAATAGAGTCATGCCAATCATCTATTAACTGCTTTCAGGGGAAAAGTTTTGAATTGAAATAATGTGACTTCCAGTTTGTATTGGAAGTTCATGTATAGTTAGGGGCCTCCTGCCCCTAAGGTTTCCATATCTGATCTCAGATTTCATCTATCTAACTCCATTCTTGAGATTTAGGAAAGACAGATGGCAAACAGTAGGAATTTACAGGTCTACATTTTTTTAAAATTGCAACCCAATAAAGATGTTGCTGATATTTCTGATCAAGATCAGCAAAAGAAAACTCAGATAATAATGATGATACTTTGTAAAAAGAAAACATTTTTGCTGAATTAAAATTAATATTAAAGCATAATATAGTATTTTTAATTGTGATTGTTAATTAATTATTGACTAGAAATAAAATTATTGCTTGCTTTAATAAACATATTTCTCTTAGTACTAGTGTTGCCACCAGGCCGGTTTTTAATTAAATTTATGGTCTGGATTGATTGCTAATTTGACTGGTTTTCATAGAAATTGTGAAATTAAGATGAAACAAAATAAATTTATAAAAATATTTGCAAGTGTTTTGCAAATATTAGGTTTGTTCCAACACAAGTCCCTAACTGGTTTAAAACTGTCATGCATATTGTTCAGTTCTTGGCTGTAAAATGACATTTCACATGCCTCATACTGTTTCCTGCAATGCACATGCCTCTGTATAACATCCTAACTTTAAAATGTCCTGGTCAGCAATTTTGAAAAGATGGCAACATTGAACACGGCACTTTTTCGGAACATAACTACTGTTATAAAAGAATTCCCGTAGTTTCTTACACAAACTGATAATGTATTTTCACTTCTAGTAACAAATTAAAGAAATATATTTTTAGCTTGTTAAAAATATATTTATTTAAACCTGCTAATAAGAATAAACACTCATTGTCAATTAAATTAATATATCATAAAGAAAGCTGAAAATAGTTTCTAATGGACAATAACGAAAAATTAGCACCTTGATAAAGATTTGAGCTTTGTAAATATGTTGTCGTTTTAAAATACTCAAAGAATTTCAACACATTAGCATGTGGTTGAGTAATGAAAATGATAGCATCAAAAGATCAAAATTTGATCGACAAAATGAGTTTTCAGTAATGGTAATTATTTACAAGCCGTACATGGACGTTTTTTGTTTTTTTCTTAATTTTTAGAAAAAAAAGACTTATTTGAAAAAGTGAAAGATGTCGAGATTTTTATCACTTATGATATCATTATTATCTTTAAAATGTAATTAATTAGGCCATTTTTATTTAATAAATAGTAATAAATGATGATAACTCATCATTCAATTACCTCTTTCTTAAATATTCCAAAAGTAGCACCACAACCATAACAAGACATGTTCCAAACTAAAAGCTTTATACCATTTTGATTTTCGTTTTTGATTTTGACGCTTGAGGCGCTCTTTTTACTAAATTCACTTCTAGTACTGTACTTGTTCGTAACGGCGTATATAATTTCATATAAAATGCTAATAATGACAATTACTCATTAAATATGGCGAATTATTTTCTGGAATAAAACAAAAAATATTTATTATGAAACATTTATAAATACATTGAAAGCGCAGGATATTAAAATGTTTCTTAAAATGAGTAAAGAATATTTTTAACAGTTTACAAAGATAATTGTTTTTGTTTGAATTAAACACTTGAATTTGATAACAGTCGATAAAATAATATATAGCGTAGTTTATAATTTGAAAAAAAGAACACGTTGTTTCTGCTACATTCTCCGAAACTACACGTGTTTAATTTAAAGATAAAAACTTATTGATAAACAAATTATCTATCAAATGTAATGAAAAATTTATTACAGAACTATCTACACCTATATCTTCAACTTGTGTCCTTGTTCCAGTAATCAATTTTATGGAACCGAATATGAAATATTTAATTCTCAACTTTGACTCATATTTTACAAATGATTCATTAAATGTTTTATTTGTTAATCACAAAATACTCAATAGAAATTTATTGTCATAATTTTTAATTATTCAGATGGTAAGTATATAATTATTATTATATTATTATATCTCGTATAATTTATTTCGAGTATTTATTTGTAATAAAAATTTGTATCCAATGGTTAGCTAAAGAATGCATTGATCAAATGATAGTTCTCTAATTGGCGATGTAAAAATACCGAAGAGCTTAGTCATTTTAAAGCTCAATTCTATAGAGACACTAATTTTTCCTTTTTTTTGTAACAATACGACATTCAATGTATTGTACAGTACATTCGTTATTAATAACTTAAAAGATTTAAACGATACTCGAATTGGAAAATTTTTTTAAAAAAACACATTTAAAAATTTCAAAAAAATAAATTTATTTTAATCTTTAAATGGGATTATTCATAAATTACATAATACTATGTTCATACTTTTTAACTATCATTTCCCTGTGACGCTCCGTAATGCTGTCACATATACCCGAAATTACGTTAATGCATATTTTCGATCTTAATTAATTGTACTAAGGAATAATACATAACATGAAGTGTTACATTTACATTTAAGAACAAGTAAAGTAACGTACAAAACAGTGACATAAACAGCACGCTTTATCATGCAACACTTCAGAAATAAAATGAATTATTCTGTTACCCGAAGGTTACGATCCTAATACTACGTAACGTTTTTGTAAACACCTCCATCCTCTTGTAACGCATCGTAACAATTATCTGCATACCCACCCATCTATTTCTGTGTCACGTAATTTAATGAACAGTCCATATCACACTATTTCAAGATTTTTTAAATAAAAAAATTGATATGTTAATTAAAATCAAGACAAGTGATTATCTACTTCTGGCATCATTATATATTATATAAATGTAATGATGCCAGGAATCATAATTTGTCTTGATATTGTCTTCACATAGGTAGGCAAAAGTCTTTAGTCTTTTTATTGGAATAAGTCATCTTCAGAATCTATTCATAATATACTGAAACTTTTGATGATTAACGATTTCTTTAATTTTGAAAATCATAACTGACAATTAAAAATAATAAATAAATGAATAATCAAAAAGCATACTGTGCAAACCGCTATTTATTTTCTTTATTGAAATTTAAAAAAATACATGTTGTTAAGAATGATATATTGGAAAAATATATTTCTTTATCACTTCAGATAAATCGTTGAATAAAAGTAATTCAATATATCTTAAGAATTTATGAAATTTGATGAACAATTTGTCCCAGGGAGTTTACCTTGAATTTCGTTTATCGGGATTTGAGTATAGTAGCAGTCATTTTCGTCCTATGGTAATTTATGACTATAAAACATTAAACATTATTATTTTTTTTTATTAAACATTTTAAATTATAAATTTATTAAAAACAATTCTACGAAAAAACAATTATTTTAAATAACTTTATCGTATTACTGGAAATCCGCATGGAAAAACGTAGACATTTCCTCTAACTCGATAACCCGGAGAAGATATGCTGATTAAAAATGTCATTTATATTTTATTCATACAACTTTTTTAATATTTAAAGTATAATTTTTATTTATTTTAGAAATTTTAACTGCAGTGAAACAGTTTTAAATGAACATTTTATATTTCTTTTTTTATGTTCTGAATTATTCTAGTCTAAGAAAACCCTTTCAGGTAAATGTTCAGTTAGAGATTAAAAGTTCGTTCTTATTTAATTTGGGTCGGAAAAACGATTCCTTAACTTGTTCACGTGACTTGCTAGGACAGGTCAAGAGATAACTCATAATGAAGATTATTTTAGTCAATAAAATGATTGAGACAAAGTTCAAGTTCGCAGTGGAAAATTTTAGAATAGAAAGTTTATTCTAATTTTCTGACAAGCAGTCAGCTGTTCGTGTGTTAAAAGTGATAGAAAAGACTCGGGCAATGGAAGTCACTTTAGTTGATTGTCCATTATTTCTACTGTTTTTAGTATTGCTTTTTTAAATTTTTTTCAACACGAAATCTGAATGTGGGTCAACGAAAATATAGAGTTGGAATTATTTTAATTTGTAAATAGTACCGTACTTAAAAAAAATTTATTTGAAATAGAGTTTTTAACTCTTCTTGCCTAACCACATGGACAGAGGTCACCAAACTACGGCCCGCGAGATCAGTTCGTCCGGCCCGTTGCCGCACTGTGCTACAAACGAGCTAAAATATAATTATTTATAGAGAAATATCATAGATTGTAGATAAACTTATTATGTAAAAAAATTAAAATAAATGTAAGTAATAGTGTCAAAATTGGTCCAATTTGATTTTTGCACCTGACAGTAATATAATTTTTAGATAAATCAATGAAATAAAAAATTCGGCAACGTTTTGCGACTTTGAATTTCAGAGCGCTTTTTGTGTAAGTACAGTACCTGCAATGAAGTTTCTAAGGGAGCTTGCTGCAGCGATCGTGTGTGTGTGTGTATTGGTAAATAAATATGCCGACTGTCTTTATTTATTGTGTATTCAGTGTGCTGTACTGAACAAAATGGTTATACGGCCTGCGCTGGTCGTTATCTCAGTTATCTGGCCCGCAGTGAAAAAAGTTTGGTGACCCCTGACATTGGACAAAGGGGAGATACACTATGGGAGAAAATCAATATCAGCGCAATAACTTTTCGCTAGGCGCAGAATTTCTATATGTATCAATATCATTGAAACTAAACAAGGAAACCATTTCTTCGGCAGCAGTTAGACCTATATTTTTTTATTTTTTAGTTTTGAGAAAGAATTACTTTCTCTAATTATCTTTAAAATGTAATTAATTAGGCCATTTTTATTTAATAAATAGTAATAAATGATGATAACTCATCATTCAATTACCTCTTTCTTAAATATTCCAAAAGTAGCACCACAACCATAACAAGACATGTTCCAAACTAAAAGCTTTATACCATTTTGATTTTCGTTTTTGATTTTGACGCTTGAGGCGCTCTTTTTACTAAATTCACTTCTAGTACTGTACTTGTTCGTAACGGCGTATATAATNGTTATCCGAAACATCGATCTTCCGAACAACCCCAGTCCCCAATTGATTCGGATAATCGACGCTCTACTGTATTGTAATGAAGTTATGTCTTGTCTTTTAGTTGTTCTTCCGTGCTGCTAGTTGATTAATTAATAAGTCTAATCAACTAGCAGCCATAATGATATTAGCAAAACCGTCGACCATCTTTCTGAAAATAAACGATTCTTGGTGAAAAAAGAAAAAAAACCACATTTAACTCATTAACCTCAAGATATGTTATAAATACATCATCACAAATTTCAACAATTCCCGCCGGCTATCAACAGAAAGCATTGATAGTTTTGCCAACAAGCTAAAATAGTTTGATTTAAATATTTTTCAGTGGTTTATTTTGCCCAAGTCTTCCCCATTCAGCAGATTTTCAAAGGAATCTAATGGATTAATTATGATGTAACTAGATATTATCCATACGTATCGACACTACCGAATATAATTTGTTTATTTTTGTCTATTTTTACCTATTTGTAATTAAATTTTGTTCACCACGGAACAAAATATAAAGTTATAAACACACGAACACATTTTAATGACGAATATTCGGTTATTCAGCTTTAGTAGCTTACTGTTGTCAGTTTTTTTTAATCTAATATCCTATCTATTTCTAATTTTTGACGTTTACCCTCTGGTCTAGCGGGTCACGCGAAAGCTAATCGCTTACGGATGTCCCCAATTTTAGGTAAGGATGAAGTCTCCAACCCAAACTCAACATTTACCTGGAAGGATTTCCTTATAAGAACTCCGAATGTTATTGGAATCTCCTTCCTAGTGGAGAGACTTTCTGTTCTTATATTTTCACTCTTGTTTTGTGTTTATTTATTCATTTAAAAAATAAAATTATAATTTTATTTAGGAAAAAATTTCATTCTAATTTTAAAAAGCCGCTATATGAATTAATATAACTAACTTTTGATTTTTAAAATTTAGCACATACATCATTTCATTTACATTTTAAAAATATTATATTAGGAGATAATTTTATTAGAAATGCTATTTAATATCTCTTAATGTATACAGTATAAAATTATATTGACTATTAAATAATTATATTAACGAAAAGACAAAATATTTTCCGCGAGGTGATCTTCAATTTTTGTGCATTGTCCTTGCCCGTACATTCGTTAATTACGTAACTGAACTTTTAACGCTATTATTTAGTTTAACACTTAAAATGGATCATCGCCTGTGAAAAGACAACTGCCTAATTAATTGACTGTATAACTTGAATATTATCTTGGCAGCGTAATACAACGTTCATTATAAATTAAAAACTCGTGACATTTCGATTTGCGTTCTGACGTCATAAATATATTATCTGTTATCAATATTTAATTTATTAAATTTCGTGTTAGATTAAGCACAAGTTTGTTTAAATCTCGCCTTTTTCGATATCAGTTATTCAAAATATGGCTTTTAAAAATATTTTATTTATTACTTAATGTC